CTCGGTTTGGAACATGGCGGATGCGATGGCCATCTCGACCTCTCTCATCCAGAGCAGGAGATTCTCCCCATCTTTCCCCTCAAAGACTTTAACGCTCACCATGAGCGGCTTCGGGCGGGGAAAATCATCCGTCGCTGACAGTGGCGTCATAGACTGACAGTGGCGTCATAGACGCAAATGATTCAGACATCATCTGCTGCAGGTGCTCTAGCAGCGCGTTTTCGTAGTTTGAAAACGCCGTTAGACGCGCACCGATTGCCTCGAAGCCTTGTGCTACAAAATGTTGCACACCCTCAGGGCCAAGCCAGGACATCAGCTTGTTAAGCCCGTCCTGCATGCCCTGGGGCAAAAAGGAAAATTGCTTCATCTTCACAGAGGATCAGTCTAAACGACCCAGACGTAGATTGACTACAAGTGCTACCAAGTGTCGCGAGGCTGCCGTGGCAAAACGCTTGAGGAAGCGTACTTTAGGTCACCGACCTTTCGCTCTTTACAAGAACCAAGTATGAGCTAGCGGATCGCAACCCGCTTACTCCAAGAGAAATTAATGCCTTCCCAAGGCTAATCGACTCTTCGTTTTTAATTCCAAACTGATTTTTTTATTTTTTTTTGTCCTAATTTAGATTTTCCTAAATATACTAAATATATATAGTAAAATCTAAAGGTTGGAATGTACACTCCAACAGCTCGTCGAGCGGGCCTATGCCCATGGATCTCAGCTATGCTCGAGGGAGCAGAGCTCCGAGCTGCCGGGTAGCATACATACATTCGACGGTGTTTTGTCTGTGGAGACACCCGTCATTTTCGGAACGGTTGCCCCCTGCGCCAGGCGCGTCAAGGTTCTTCGAACCATCGCCCCAACGCCTACCAGTCTGGTTTGACGCGGGGAAACGACACCACTCAGTAGGCGCGGGGCGACCTATTGGGGAAGAACTGAGTTCTGTTGAGCCTCAGGGAGGCATAGGTCAACAGGTCCCAGCCCCGAAGAGCTCCGTGCTCTTAAACACGGAACGTGTATGCAAGTCGGGCTTGTTGGTCGTGGAGGCGACCGTAAAGGGCTTCGAGAAGCCATGGAAGATCTTTATTGATTGGGGGCGTCGGGCAATTATGCTCGACGTTCCACGATGGAAGGAAGTCAGCTGATGCTGAGGCGCTGAAAGCGCGGTTGGGTGACATGGTCATTGTTCGCTTAGCGGCGGGGACACGTGTCACGTGTCACGGTCCCGAAGGCCCCTGTGGATCTCGGAGTCAAGTTCCTTGACTTTGATAGCGTGGAACGCTGTCTAGTCTTAGACTTG